GTCACTCTCAAAAAAAACAATAAGAGTCAGCTGGGTTTCCACTGCTAATTTCTTTCAGGAATTTATGAAGCTGTTTATTTTAAATTGTCCATTCAGGAAGAGGAAGAAAAATGGCCATAACAATGTCAGGAACAAGAACTCTAATTCAAATATTTCAACTCCTCTAAAACATAAATGCACAGTCTGAAGAGCAATTTCATACCAGGGTTTGGAAATCTATGCAGTCCTAAATCCAACACTGTGGTACAGGCAGAATTTTTTTTTAAAAAAATTGTTTCTGAAAAGTGAATTCAAGGAAATTAGCTTCACAACTGAGCAGTGTAAGTGCTTGTACCTTTTTTCCCCTACTTGCTTTCAACTATACAGTCACTGCAAGCTTCTCCATCACCTATGAGCTCTGGTTTCAGGACTGTTTTAGACATCCTACCCTCTGACTTCCCTCCCAACCTGCACAACACCTGCTGCTCTCTAACCATTGCAGTGACACTGTCACACTGAGGCTGTTTTAGAGGCTTTACTGGGTTCCCTTTAAATTAGTCTGTTTGCTTTTAATGAAAAACAACACAAGTGGAAGTCAACACCAAGAACTGCACCTTTTGGGATTGACCATCTCAGATTATTTGTTAACTTGTCAAGTGATGAGCTCACAGAAAATGTCCAGGTCCCAACTGACATCAAGAACCAGGTATCACCAAGATTCAAACCTTCTTCAATATCTTGCCATCAATGGGCAAAAAGTTTGGGTAGAATTAAAAAACAAAACAAAACAAAAAATTAACTAAAACATTACCAGCAGAAGTTTGCTTGGTTCAGCATCAACATTCCAGCAGTATCATAGAATCATAGAATGGTTTGGGTTGGAAGAGACCTTAAAGATCACCTAGCTCCAACCCCCTTGCATGGGCAGGGACACCTCCCACTAGACCAGGTTGTTCCAAGGCCCCATCCAACCTAGCCCTGAATACTTCCAGAGATGAGGCAGCCACAATCTCCCTGGGCAACTTGGGCCAGTGTCTCACCACTTTCACACTAAAGAACTTCTACAGGAAGTTTCCATACATTCCCTTCTGTACACGAGGATCTCAAAGTCACATAGGTCCTAGCTCACCTATTTGTCTGTACAACAAACTAACCCATTTAAAGACATGTCAGCTTCCTTTGCTGCACTTCCAACAGCAAAGACCCAACTGGTACTACTATGTGAAACATAAACCCACTAGAGAAAACTATTTTGAAATATTTAGAAGACTTGAGGAAAAAAAAAGATAAAATAAGAACAAACAAACAAAAAAAATCTATTTCCTGCACAACTTTAACAACTAAAAATAAAGTTGACAGCACTAGCTTATATTCAAATAGAAAAGACTCATTTCTCCAAGCTTTCAAAAAATCTAAGTATGAAAAGCCATGTAAACTGTGAGTAAATCCCATGTATTAGTGGATCCCTGGAGGGAACAGAAGGGGTCTGATCTGCTTTAACAGTGATGATACAATCTGAATCTAGGGCATCCAACACATCCATGCTGCATGCAGCCATAATCCTCCTGTTGACATTTTGGTTGTCCTCCAAACAAGCAAGAAGCAGGCACCTGCTGCCTGGCAGCCACAGACAGTGTGCAGCTGCCACCAAGGCAACAAGCTCTTTTCCTGTCCTGGGACAGGACAAAGAGGAGACAAACTTACACAATGAGCAAAACCCAAATGAGCTGGAATTAGCACCTTCTCCCAATTCTCCTGCAATTGTCTGATGAAAATCAAGGGCTTCTTATGAAGAACTCCTCTAAAAACACTTGACAAAGAAAATATGTCCATCTTCATCCAGTTTAATCTATCATATATTTATCATGGGTTTAGATATTTTATACAGGAAGAGGCTAGGCATATCTAGTCGATAACGTGCACTTTTAGCTTCAAATGCTAGATTATAACAGATTATAAATTACCATCCAAATTCTGCATGGAGAAGTAATACCCTGACCTCAATTCAATTAGTAAAAAACCAGCATATAAATATCTATCACAAAAACAACCCAAATTTATCCAGGTAATGAATTCAGCCAGATCCTCACCTCATGCATGAAATTGCACTCATAACAGGATAAGAAGAGCCTTTCAGGAAGGAATAAATATCAAAGTACAGTTTCAGAGCCTCACATCCAAATGTGTAAAACACAGTACAACATTGATTTGCTCTCTCCTGTCACTTTTCTACTGACCTAACCTGTGAGATCCACCCCACGCAACCAAGGTTCTCCCAGCCTAGTGTCCTTCCAGCTGTTTCCTCCTCACTGTATGATTCAGACTTTCAGCTTCCTTTCCCTTTCACGAGGGTCATGAGAAGTTAGCAATTTGTCCCTCTTCAGCATCCTTCTTGTCTTTACCTCTCCCAGTCAACTTGCTATACCTCCTTGCTCTCAACCATAAAGCCCCTTGCAGGAGGTGTTAGGAGGTTTCTGCTTAGACCAGTAAGACACCATTTCCCACAGAAAGTTCAGAGGACAGAGAGGACACCACCCAGTGATGGTGAGCTCCTGGCCAAGACCGTAAGTGAGTAAATCAATTTCTCAAGGGACCTTCCTTGATCACAAGGCCAAAGTACAATCCTGCTTCAGCTTGTTTCCACCTCCCTCCTCCAGCTCACCCACACCCTGCGCGTGTTGACATTGCACCAGGCCAAGCTGGAGCATTTGAGTTTAGCTGTTGAGGCTTGGTATGTGAAGCAGTCTGGTTATAGTTGTGTTTCATAAGTTCAGCAGTATCAACAATCTGCTGCAGCAGTAAATGAGAACAGTTGGGAGGGGGAGGCAGAAAAAAACCTGCTTTTCTACAACAGCTTCCCCAGAAATAGTCTCTCAGACTATCACTAACTCTACATTAACTTTTACGAAGAAACTATAATCAAATTAGGCATAAAGAAAACCATGACTTTCACTTCCCTAACAATTAATACTTTCCCAGCCTATGCATTCTATCTTAAAAGAAAAAGTTCCCAAGATCAGCCTAGTAACTGCACTCAACTCCAGCAGCAGGAAGGCAAAATACCCCTGTTGTCATGAAACCAGAGAGATAACTTTCTTCTAGACAACTTCCTTTTCACTCATCCAATCCCTGTCCCAAAACTGGGACAACCTTCTAGAAAACTGACAGTGCCCTGTGACTCAGGATATCTGACCAAGCCATGCACATACTGAACAGCTGTAAAGTTAAAAATAACTGAAGCTAGGATGCATTAAGATTTTTCAGGGTAGAAATAATTTAAAACTAAGTTTATGAAAGACACAGCTGCAGAAGAGCAAGAAAACACCCAACAATTTCAGTATTTAACATGGAAACGAGCCACATCTGATCTCTTTGCTCTTGAGTAGATTGATGGTCTTGATGACACAAAAGCCAGAGGAGCTGTGTCTGATGCTTTCTTCCTAGGTGGCACTTGCTAATTAAGTACATTATCAATGCAGTAATCATCAAAACATCACTTAAGGTAAAATTAAGTTACTATTTACACAGGGCTTAAAAAACCCAAAATAGATTTTGAACTAAACTACAAACAAATTTAAAGTATTAGAAAAGTGATAGGCATTTGTACAAACTTTTCCTTGGTAAAAGGTGTTCTCTGAGAACAACTGGATTATTTCCACCAGTTTTTAAATGGTAGATACTTGAACCCCTCTACAGTAAATAAATCAGTAATTTTGCTTTTTCAGTAATGTGTACTAAAAAAATTGTCAAATTTAATGTAAGGAAGTGTGCAGAAGTATTTATAGCACTGGGTAAATTTCCCCTTAGATTGAAATAAATTAAAATATCACAGTAACTCATTATTTTGTTTTGCAAATAATTCATTTCCCTCCAAAGGGGACAGGAACATCTAAATTGTCTGTGATTATACTTTACAGAAGTTACACTAAGGGTTCCTTGGAAATTGCTAGCAAGGTTAGAAAGCATCAAGAAATAAAGCATAACATCTCCATAACACCTGCACAGTTCAGATGAGAAAATATCTGGAGCTCAGCAGGCTCTGAATTTCAGAAGTTACATGTGTCTGCTCCTTTGCAGACTTCTTTGAAACTAACTAATAAATAGATGCAAACTCAATTATCACATTTAGAAAATATGCAAACAAGAAGAATGTGGAAAGAGCAAACAAGAAATTACATTAAAATGAGGACACAAACACAGAATATAAAAAGTTAAAGGAAAAGTTTGAGAAGCAACCTCAGAAAGAAGACAACTACTGCAAGTCTGTCACACAGCACTGAGCAAGACAAGCGATCCCAGAGAAAAAGATGATATTCAGCAAGATGCTGACTAATCCAAGGATACACCAGTACTGCAGCCCAGGGGAACACCTACCTCACACCCCTCCTGTTGCAGATTACTTGCTGCTGACAAATGGGGAGCACCATCAGGAAACCAAACAAGTTGCAAACTAGCTTGAGTTCATACCTTTTAGCTGGACACACTCCCTGCCCTGTCCCTCTGGATGGTCACACAAAAGGCAGTACCAGCACCAGAGAGTCCTGGGTAGGGCAGAATTGCTCCTTAAAACAAAGTGCCTTAATCCAGGCTGAAGCACCTACACAACCACAGCCTAAGGATGCAGTTTTTCATTAGAGCTGAGCTGACTGAGCTGTGACCCCACTTCTCTCATAGCTTGATGTCTTCTGTAGGGTTAGGTTTGGGGCATTTTTGTGGTTTTGGTTCTTTAATCAGGCAGAAGCTATGGCTACTGACAACTGTCAGCACACTGCTGTAGTAGGAAGGAGACAACATAGGGTACCGGGGTCCAGACCAAAAGACACACTGAAGTGAGTAAGAACAAACAGTAGAACTTCAACAAAAAAGGCCTTCGAAAGCATACTAAGAAGATGTAATGATCTAAAAGGTCTTCAAGTTAAAAAAATCATCTTGATACAATGCAACTGATGTGTATTACAGCCATTTCAATAACCAGCGTGCTGTACAATCACAGTAAAACAAACTCAAGGCAGAAAACTCACCTTCACAAAATTGTCAGGGAACATGCCCCTTTTGCCATTTAGCTCCCCTTCTAACCATCCTTCTTCCTCCAGTTTTTTCACATTCTTGATGATTTCCCCAACTCGGATCGTCAGCTCATCATCGTGCACTGCATCATAGTCATATTCCACTATATAGTCCACTAAAAAAAAAAATAATAATCAAAACAACCCATTGAATATGACTCAGAGAAATGCAACTTGAAAGTGTACAAAAAGGCAGACCTAACAATACATTCTAAGAACAAGAGTCTCCCTTACAGCAGCAGGTGTGTACAAAAAGGCAGACCTAACAACACATTCTAAGAACAAGAGTCTCCCTTACAGCAACACTCATCTGTGCATTGCAGCGTTCCCAACCATTTTGGAGATAGGGGAAAAAAAATTGGGTGAAGTAAATTTAGGAATATGACACCAGGTCATATTTTGTTAGTGTTAGATAAGTTTCTGTGCATGTGTCGTGTGAAAAGGATTCATGGCAGTGGTTTCCCCCACCCTGCTAAGTCCCAGCCCAAGATTTATCAATTATGACTCACAGCCCACAGGGCAAGCGTTTCTTACTCAATGCATTATTTGGGGCCAAGGAGGGAGAAAAGTTCAAATTGGACATGTATAGTAAGACACTGTCAACTCTCACACTTGCATCTGCTATTATATTTGCAAAAAAACCTCATTGCTGCACACAAGTTTTTATAGCTTTGATCCAATAAATGTAATACAGCCAAAAAGTGCACTATTCACAGTATCATACAACTCAGATTGGACAGACACGTAAAATGCACGGTCCTTCAGGTTCATCTGGTTATGTATGAAGAATAAGAAAGTGAACTTTAAGTTTACTCAGAGGAACATAGCAATGTATTTACATACTTGACCATCTATTGCACAAGATGCATCAGTTGCTTCCTGACAGCTTAAGGCTTGTCTGGCAATAAAGGCTCATCTGTTCATCAAGAAATTCTGTTGGTTTTTTGGTTTGTTATTTTTTCTGCTTATCTTTATGCCAGAAATTTTCACAAATGTACAGCAACCAAATAATCAAATTGCCTCTCACTCAAATCCAGTCTGGATATCCAGGCACTAGCAAAGACAACACTGCTCTCACTGAAACCTCCCTCTCCTCTGCAGATCACAACACACACACAAAGAGATGAGAGCATAACAGGGTTAAAAGATGGAGATCCTGAATGGTTTTATACGGTTTTTTCCCCAAGTCGCTCTTTATTCTATTAGTGCATAGTAATATCCAACAATTAATTCAGAAATTAAGAAATCAAATTGAGAAAGTATTATTTCTTGTATTTAACTGAAAGCTCCACTAATCAATGGATAATTATGACCTGTGGAGGGTTTTGATCAAAAGTGCTGTTGCATGCACCCTGAAATGTAGCCTTTATCTCTCTGCTGCCTAGAGATTAAGTCAGAAAACCCTTGGAAACAAAACAAAAAAAAAAAACACACCACCAAAAAAACCCCACAAAAAACACAGTACTACATGATGATGCCATGAATACAAGAGAAGCTAGAATGGTCTGGCAAACTATTTTCTGAATACATCCATTAACAAAGGACCCAGCTGAATATTAACTATACTTATCTCCTCATGATAAACACTCTCAAACTCCTAACATAAGCTTTTGTATTGTACACCTTTATTTTTGCCAAACATATTCTCTAAGCTTGCTCCAAAGCATCATATTTCCCCATTACTGCCTGCAGCAAGCATAGTTTTGACTTTCTTCTGTACTGAACTGTCTTTTGAGTGGCTGACATGAAATACTGCCCAAGAGATAGGAAATTCTGGCAGCCACAGGTCATAAAAATAACGGTTGTTCATCACCTACAGTCTGGAAATAAAAATGTCATCTTCCAATTAACTCAACCCAACCATTTTGGAAATCTGCAAATGCATAAAAATGTAAGAAATATTCATGTTACATATTTCTCTCATGATAAATTCTGGTTTTAAGCACATTAGCAGGTATTATGCTTCAACATATACACCATAGGACAGTTTTATTGAGTTAAACATGGAAAATGGATCAGAACAAAACATCAGTCATGCTAAATGCTTACAGCATTGCAGACTACAACTTGAACTGCCAAACACCTGGTCCTTTTTCCACAGAATCAGTAGGTAATCATATTCACCCTATGTCAACATGAACTAATTATTTTGAAAGCTTCTTCAATTCCTTGGGGGAACATTTCTGTATTTGTGCTTGAAATGCACAACACGTTCATGTTGGTCACTTTTCCAGACTGTAAAACAGAGTCAGTCATGCCAAAAACCAAAGGAGGATCTCAAGAACCTTCCAGTCATCACCCATGTGTCTCTATGTTCCAATGACAAATAGCAGTAAATTAACATCAGCTTTTTATGTTTGAAAAATTCAGGTGCTGAATTTCTTGTACTTATCAGCAATACCCAATACTACCCTCACTCTCATGGATACGTACACAAAACAGATCTAAACTCTGTTGTCTCGCCTAGGAAGGGTCATAGGGAATGTCAAGGTAGTTTCACCCCAAGCATTTTTTTATGTGATGACACAGAAACAGCAAGAAGCTATACATCTTGCTACTATGTGGTCCTCAAGACACACACAAAATACTGCTTTTAAATATTAAGAAGTAGTACTAGCTGAACCATCCAGGTAATTTGGACTGCAGTGTGATGGACAAGAAACTATTCTACTACCAAAACAGTAGAGATTAAATAAGTCTCTGAAAGGGCTTCAAGAATGAATATTGTCTCGAGGAGAAACAGTATCCAGTGATGACAGAAAATGTTTTTAAGGAATGACAATTCCTTATAATAACAAGGAATCAGAATCACGCTGGTCCATGGATTATACTTGTGAATGCTTGAAGTGGTTCTGAATGCTGCTGAATTACACTTCTGGATGCTTCAGTCCTCACTTAGAAGCTTTACCCAAGAACATACAAGATACCAAAATCAGACAGCAGTGAGACTACAGTAACATAAGCTGGTCAAAACTTAAAAAAAAACCCATAAAGGCTCAACTGGTAGAAGGTACAGGAGAGCACCTCAGCAAAACAAACTACCATGTTACCTCACTCTCTGTTTTTTTACACAGCTTTCTCAACTTCAAACCCAACTCACAGAAATTATCTTAGCTTTTAAGTCCGCAGTGATTAAATCTTGGATGAAAAAGTCTTATCAAACTTGCACTTGAACACCAAGAGGTTAACTGTGCTTTTCTTGCACATCCAGCAGGATGAAAGCTCAGCTGAGAGGGAGACAATATTCTCCTGAGTCCTCACAGGCAGCATGGGCCATCACAAACCACCTCCTTCACTGTGTACAAAGATGATGTCTTCATCTTAGATCTCTAACAAACAAGTGGCGATCTTGTTTTGGCACAAATTAAAATATAAACATGTCATTATCACCTGACACATACTTCCAGTCAAGGTAAGAGAGAAGAACACAAAAAAAATTACAAGCCAAATCAGACTCAGGTTGATTAGGGTATTGTAGAAAATAAATTATAACAGACTGTTATAACTGACAGAACAGATTTAGAAACACAAGACTATGTTCAGTGCCCTGGCAGCAGTTGAGGGGCTGGAAGCTCTGTTCAGTGAAACATTGGAGGCAGCTTAGTCAGTGTCACCCAAGAGCACCAGGATGGTGGTAGTGGGAATCAGCAAAGCTGTATGAAAAGGATACCAGGGCTGACCAACCTGACAGCCTTCCACAATGAAATGACTGCCTTACTGGATGACAAGAAAGCAGTAGATGTTCTCCCATAATACTGTCATATACAAACTGATGGAGTACAAGCCTGCAAAGCGAAATAGAATGAAAACTGTCCAAAACACTCAAAGGGTTATGATCAATGATACACAGTCCAGCTAGAGGAGAGCCACCAGTGGTGTGCCCCAGGAGTCAGTGCTGCACTGTTCAATATCTTTATTAATGATTCGGATGATGGGACTGAATGCACTCTCAGCAAGTCTACAGATTACACAAAACCATGAAGAGTGGCTGACAGACCAGGAGGGTATGCTGCTATTCAGAGGGACCTCAACACGATGAGGAAATGGGCCAAGAGGAACTTCACAAAGTTCAGAGGGAAATGTCAAGCCCTGTCCCTACGGAGGAACAACCCCATACACCAGTACAAACTGTGGGCTGCTTGATTGGAAAGCAGCTTGGCAGAGGAGGACCTGGTGGACATCAAGGTGACATGAGCCAGCAACACTCCCTTGCAGCAAAAGAAGGACAACAGCATCTTGGGCTGCATTACGAGCAGTATTGTCAGCAGGTCAAGGGAGGTGATCCTCCCCCTCTGCTCAGATCCTTCTGGAGTGCTGGGTCCCATTCTGGGCTCCTCAGTACAAGACAGACATGAACATAGTGGAGTAAACCCAACAAAGGGCCACAAAGATAACTAAGGGACTGGAGTGTCTTCACAGATGGAAAGGCTGAAAGAGCTGGAATGAGGCTCAGGGAGATCTTACTGATGAAGGTGTGGAGAAGACTGAGTGGTGCTCAGTGAAAGCACAAGATGCAGTGGGTAGAAACTGAAACAGATAAAATTCCACTTAAAGATACATATGCACAATACATATACATACACACATACCACAAGAGTAATCAAAGAATGGAACAGTTTGTCTTGAGGGGCTGTGTAGTCTCCTTACACAAGATCAAAACCCAACTGGATATAGTCCTGAGCATGGTGCTGTAGCTGACCCTGCTCTGAGCGGGAGAGTTGCCTTAGATGATCTCCAAGGTGCCTTTCAGTCTCAGCAATTCTATGATTCAACCCAAAGATACACCTTAGGAGGCAGCTTTCTGTCATTGAGCCATAACAGCTTTCTAACATAATTAGAGAACCTCCCAGATGGTGCTTTCTGACGGTTTTGACCCATTTTCAGGGGCAGGGAATTGATTAAATCAGCAGTGCTAAGGGAGTAGTTCTGTTCAACTCTTGGTTTTGAGTAAGATGACAATCTGACTAATGAGTTGTTCCCCACAGCAAAGACAGAAAATGTCTCTGCCTCTTTGACCAACCAGCTCACTCTGTTAGCCAACATAGCAACGCTGCCTGCACAAGACATTCAGTCACTGCTGGCACAGGTGAACTCTCCACTTCTCCAGAACTTACAC